ATCTCCACAGTGATATGAAGAGTGATCTCCGATATGTCGTTAATTTAACGTAAACTACAGCATGAATGAGAAAGCTCTATCAAAATAGACATTTGAAGAATTGTTAAGTAATGACTGAACAGGATATGATATGGAAATGCTGTCGCCGCCGTACACAGACTGCCTTTGTGTGCTGCCAAGCGTTGCCTTGAAGCTGCTTGCTCTCATCAGCTGTTGTGCTGCGGATCGTCAGGACTTTTGTGACGTATTGTCAGCGTCAGAATCCGATGCTGTTCACGCGGGACGGCAACATGTGTGTGTGTTAGGGTTGCATGACCGGGAAATTAATTATAAGAATTAATAGCATAAACACACAAACGCGCGCGCACACAGACACGCACAGGCATACACATGAGCACACACGCACATGCATAAACACACGCACTTGAATTGTGATTAATTGACAATGCTGCATCGGAAGAAGATAGAAAGGAGATCGTTGACAACTCTATCTCTTTCTCTCTTCTCTCCCTACTCCCTCCCCTCTCTCCCTCTTCTATCTCTATCTATCCATCTTTTCAAGTCAGGCTGCAAGAGTAAATGGGATAGGTGTTAAAGAAGGAACGAGGGAAACAAACAGACATGGCCCAAACCTCGAAGAAATGTAACCCGTCCGTTTCCATTCGCGAGACGATGGATCGAGACAACCCGGCCCCCATTCGCGCCAAGACAAAGCCGAATATAAAGCCAATGTCCCTTTTAAGCCGGCGACGTCCATAGATTTAGTGCCACGTGGAGCAGAGGTTGGCACTCTGGGGTATGCAGTGCCAACCCCTCCCCTCACGTTGCACAAAGGACGTGAAAAGCACTAAATTAAGACAACAAAATGCGAGACAAAGATACCGGTTTATTCATTCAGTAACAACAACACCAAACAGCGACAAATATCGAGAACTACGGCCGGGCCAGGCCACGCCCAGCTGCTCCGTCCTGCATCCACCGACAGCAGGTTCATCACGTGACCGGCGAGTCCGACTGCTCGACCTCGGACTCCTCGCGGCTCGGCGATACAGGCTTCCAAGTATTCAGAGTCCTGAGGGAGGGAAAGGAGGAAGGGAGGGAGGGAAGAAGAAGGGGGAGAGGGAGAAAAGAGGGGTTTATTCCGCCCTGCCTTGGCCAAGACAAAGCCGAATACAAAGCCAATGTCCCTTTTAAGCCGGCGACGTCCATAGATTTAGTGCCACGTGGAGCAGAGGTTGGCACTCTGGGATATGCAGTGCCAAACCCTCCCCACACGTCGCAGCATATGCACTCGCAGGCACAAAGGACGTGAAAAGCACTAAATTAAGACAAAATGCGAGACAAAGATACCGGTTTATTCATTCAGTGACAACAACAACGACACCAAAACCTTCAACAGTAATCCTCTTTCATTTCTATTTACGTTTTGCATTATCCGCTGGCGGTGATTTCGTATCATATCTGCTAAGGACGCAGATAGTCTTCGGTATTGTATCTGGATACTTTCGAGAGAAAAGCGAAGCGTCAAATCCACAAGTTCTTTTCCATTTCGATAACGAAAGAATTGCAGGACAATACCCCTTCGTGACACGGCAACGTGTCCACATTCTTCAGCTGTGACAAAAATGGCGTTTCATATGCCGTTACTTTCACCAACGAACGCATCCCTGACTGATTGGCCAATATCTGCCATCGAATCCTGATACCTGAGACTGCGTGGCCATAAATATGTCTGTCAGAGTAACTGCTAAAGGGGGAATGGGTGGAACTTCGGCGGAAATTCTTTGTATAGAATTTCTCTTTCCCCGATTTCTTTCTTTTATTTCATTCTCTCTGGCTCTCGCTTTCTCTGCTCTTCTGTCTCTTACTCTTTCTTCGTCTCTCTCTCTCCCTCCAACTTTCTCTACCTCTCTCTCTCTCTCTTTCTCTCTTGTCACACTTCAAGAGGAATTGGTATTTGACCAAATGAGAAATAGACCTTGACACTTGACCCGCAGTTTGACCTTTCACTTCGTGTCTCTGCCTGTGACCTTTTGGTTCATTTAATTATTTTTATTCTCAAGATCTTTTCTTTCCACGTCTCTAAGTTATTTTTCGTATGTGAAAAATAACGGTTGCTGTATGGCCTGCAGTGACACATACATAAAGAAAGAAAAAAAAAGAAATAAAGCTAAAATCTATTTCAAGAATGTAAATCCGAACGAGAAACGGAGTTAAATGGCCGTGCAGCCAAAAGCAAAGAGCGTACACTATAATTCATTATTCAAACGTTAGAGCGACATGGCTGTTATTCGTCTTCCATATTTGTTTATACTCTTGTCCATTCTCTATTCTTGCAACGATTTTTGTAACTTGGCAATTCAAAAATAAGTTACGACTGAGTACAAGCAACTGTCCGCCATTTTAGCCATTAATTTGCACGGATTCCTTTTCCCGTTTTCTTTGATTTCTTGAACAAGGGGGAACTGTTGTAATTCACAATCATTCGATATCAGATTGC